GAATATTTGAAAAGTTTTGTTGTTATTAGGAATGTGGATACGATGCAAAGGTATTTCAATTCGGGTTATATTCTACCACTCATTGCTGATTGGCCCGGGCAAATATTTGTTAGAAGTGCAATTTCTCAATTTTTGACTTATGGTGATAAGTCTAATATTTCTCAAGACATATTATCATTTATTTCAATAATTGGACTATTGCATATATCTCTAAATAGTCACGAGCTTATCTATATACAGTACTATCCATTGTTTTCTTCGCTGCACAATTATTTATTTGATCAAATGAAAGGGCTTGGAATTAACATTCAACCTTGGCGAATTAATTTGCTTCTTGAGATTATTCGTCGTGGGTGGCTTCGGGTTTCAAATATTATTAAAAAAAAGTTTGGTCTTTGTGAAGACCTTGAATATCTAACATTGAAAGATTTGTTAGATAATTTGATTCCACTTGTACTCGATATATACGCAATTTTCTTTTGTGCAGGTGAGTGGCAAGAATACGAAAAATCTATAATACGAGTGTGGGTACTTTTTTTACGGTTTTTCCGTCATAATTACAATAAGGCATCACTAATGTTTTTGTCAGACATTTTATATTGGAGAGATATTAATCATCCCATTTTAGAAATTTTAAAAACACAGTTGTCAAAATTTTCCGATGCTCCTGTTAAATTATTTCACAGCATTTTGAGACAAACTACCCAGAAGCATGATACTGCCGAACGCTTACGAAATCAAGCACATTTTATTAATTTTTTAAGACGTGAAAAACGTCTTAATGAATTATTTGACCATCAATCAACTTGGAAAAGATATCTTTTAAATTACAGAGATTTGAATAGCTGTACACAAAAAGCAGCATGTTTTTTGTTAGAACATTTTATTAATATTTATAATCACATTACTATAGACAGCATAATGGGTCTAAGTTGGTATAAGCCCGCAATATTGTTAGAAGGAAAAAAGAAAAGAAAACTTGTGAATGCTACTAATATATCAATGCCAGCTATTGGCATTGTTGCAAATATTCAACACCTTCCTCTAGGTTTTAGCACTTCACAAAAACCTAATCAATCTGTTTTGTGTGATTATTCATTATGTACTAAAACCGATATATATATCTACACTAATTTATTATCTCTTAATTTGAAAATACTAGCGTGCGGTCATAATATCATGTAGAGTATTTAGAAGAAATTGGTCAAAAGTGTCTACCTTGCCTTGAATTCTTGAAAAATAGAATACAAGTAAATGTGGATCAGTTACTGGTGCATCTAACGGAAACACAAGAAGAAAAAGATAAAAAAAAAAAAAAAAGACAAAAAAAAACAAATATAAAAGATACCCGAGTTCAAGAAAATATAACAGGAGAGACACAAGAAAATATAACAGAAGAGTTTATAATTGAAGCAAATGAAGACGATGATAATGTTATTATTATTGGTAGTAATGAAGATACGGTACTTGATAGTTTGTTGCAAAAGCTCAAAGAATTATAACAATAATTTTTTATTTAAAAATTTTAATAAAATTATTTTTTTTTAAATAAAAATTTGATAATTAATTAAAAAAAAAGAGAACAATTGTAGTGTTATTCAATTTCATGTACAAGAAAGTTATTCTATCTGCACAGGTTCAAAAATCGTGTATAATAAACTATAGATTCTTAAAAGGCGTGATAGATATTTAAAATGTATATATATAAAAGTAAGAAACGATAACGATAAAGAATTAAATTTACGAAGATAATGTAATTTGGTTGATTGTCACATATTACGCCAATGGCCAATCATAACGTGTTATTCAATTTCATGTGATCGACCAATCATAAGAAAGTTATCCTATATAGGTCAAGGCCGATTCCCCCAAAGTTCACAAAGTGCAAAAAAATATTGACGATTTTTCACAACTTCTTCTATTTCTTTGCCACTTCTGTTTTTCTTACTCAAGTCTCTTAAAAGATTGAGTGTTTCTTGTTGTCCTCTTCCTCTTTACTTAGGAGCCTGAGATTAATTTCTTAGTGACTCTTGTGTGTTTTTTAAGTTTTTGTTAATTTTTATTTTCAGAAATTTTGTATTTTGTATAAATGGTTCTATAAGTATAAACTTATTGTATAATATCAATCTAATAAAATATGTAATAAAATGCTTATAACTAAAATTATATGTATATACAGTACGTACTGGTATATGTGAAATAACAAAAATAATTAAAGAGTACAATTTTTAACAATATGCCAATATTTATTTCAGTAATATTAACTGAAAAGATTTGAAATTAGTTTTAATATCATCGGGAAAATAAATATGGTGCAGATCTGCAAAGATCTGCTACCCTGCTAAAAAATGACGAATTTTACGATATCTCGTGAACCAGTGATCGAAACTCGACGATTTTGGTACCATTCGATCCGTCTCAATAAGACAGATCGAATGGTACCAAAATTGTTAAGTTTCGATCACTGGTTCACAAGATAATCGCGTTCAAGTGATTTTTATAAACATTTACGTAACTTGCCACCCAGTGGTCCAAATTTAACGATTTTGGTACCATTCGATTCCTCTCAATGAGACGGTTCGAATGGTATCAAAAACTCTAAAATCGTATCATTGGGTGGCGAGATATTCGCAAAAAACGTTTTGCGGCGCAGTTCTGCGCAGAACTTTAAATTTTGTTTTTTAAAGTTCTGCGCAGAACTGCGCCCGCCGCAAAACGGTTTTGCGAATATCTCGCCACCCAATGATTCGGTTTTAGCGTTTTTGATACCATTCGAACTGTCTCATCGAGAGGAATCGAATGGTACCAAAATCGTTAAATTTGGACCACTGGGT